CCTCGGGCCTGGCTGGAAGAGCATAACATCGGGGCTGGGCCCCACCACCCTGAACTACATCTCTAGGATGGCCTACTGCTGGCTGGCCTCCACCTCTAGTGGCCTGAGCTCCACCTCTAATACCTCTACCTCGACCTCTAGTACCTCTACCCCCACCTTTAGTTGGCTGGGCAGGTTGTGGAACACTCGGTGCCTGAACCATGGCACGGGAACCCTGCTGTTGAGAACTGCTCGATGATCGAGGGTAATATCTAGTAATGTGCCTCGTGTCGCCACAAGTAAAACAAGCCATCGGCTGCTGGGGCTGACGACTTTGGAAACTCTGAAGCGACGGTGCACTGATAGGTGCTGGTGGTGTACTGTAGGTCTGCTGATCAGAATACTACATATGAGAACCACGGCCAACTGAAGCACCGTGAGAAATTTGAAGTGCTAACTGAAAAAGCCTAGGATGATGGCCTTTACCATATGAATCTCTGCCTCCAGATGAGGTACCATTGAATCGGCCGGAATGACGAGGCCTCTTGTCAGACCCCTGACCATCTCCCTACGATAGAACCATCTTAACTCTCCTGGCCACATTGGCTACCTCCTGGAAAGAAATCTCACTCCCAGTCTCTTTGTCCATCTAAAGTCGAATCGACTGAATAAGTCCCTCAATGAACCTCCTCACCCTCTCTGTCGGTGGGAAGTATGATAAGAGCATGACGGGTCAGGTCGATGAATCCGGTCTCATATTGAGTAACAGTCATAGAACCCTGCTGGAGACACTCAAACTACCTCCAGTAGATCTCTCTTTGAGTGATGGGGAGAAACTTCTCCAAAAATAGCTGAGTAAACTGCTCCCAAGTCAAAGCTGGTGATCTGGCGGATCCAGACAAGCGAAAAGTAGCAAAATTAACCACATTGGTCTCCATTATCCCTATGTTCCAGAGAACCTCATGACAACTGTCTAGATAATCCTAGGGATCCTCAGAAGATGCATCGCTGTAAGTAGTAGTGAAGAGCTTGGTGAAACCTATCCAACCTCAACAAAGCCTTCGAAGACGAAGCTGATCTATCACCAGTCTGTGCTGCTACTCAGCTGAAGAAGCGGTACTTGACTTCGTCATTCGCGAAAAGACAAGAGTAGAGGTTTCAATTTAACAGTGAGAGAACAAAAACCGCACGACAGAAGAGAATAGAAGTGAAACTTTTCCTAACTCCATAGCCTCTGGAGGATAAATACAGACGTCTCCGTACTGATCCCTCAGACTCTACTAAGCTTGTCTGTGAACTGTGTGACCCATGTAACCTAGAGCTCTAATACCAACTTGTCATGACCCGGATTTCCCACCCTCGAGAGTCGTGATGGCTCCTACTCATGAAAACTAGGCAAGCCAAATTATTCTAATTACTTAACCTTTTCCAGTTTTAAACCATTATCAGTGATGAGAAGATATCATGCAAATAGCGAAAATAATTAAGCGGAAGGCAAAATCTTATAAATTAATCTTAATACAAGCTGCAGAAGTCTAAATACAACTCTACCAAGAATTTGGTGTCACAATTTCACAAACGGTCTAAGAACACTACATACAAAGTCTGAAAAATGAAATATATAAAGTTTCTGAAATGAGTAAAGGAAACAGGATAAAGGAAAAGTAGGAGGTGACGCCAAGGCCCGCGGACTCCTGCAATACTACCTCGGGTCTCCTGTTAGACTGAAGGCAGCAACCTCATTGCGGTCCGATGTATACAAAACTGGGATCTGCAAAAAAGAGTGCAAAGTGTAGTATCAGCACAACAGACCCTATGTGCTGGTGAGTGTCTAGCCTAACCCCGGCGAAGTAGTGACGAGGCTAGGACCAGACTACCAAGTAAACCTGTGCAATTATATCATAAACAGCAGAAATAGAAGCAGATAATTGCAATTAAAATTGGGCAGGGGAAACATGCTTTGGGGGAATAACAGATAACAACAAACTAGCAAAAGAATATAAAAAAACCAAAATCCAATCACTAACACGGATAGGGAAAAATAATGCAGAGTTCACTTTCATTTCACATCTCATTGCAGGCGTGCAACCCAATCCATTTTATGTATCTCGTTGCAGGCGTGCAACCCGATCCCATTTCATATATCTCGTTGCAGGCGTGCAACCTGCTCCCATTTTACATATCTCGTTGCAGGCGTACAACCCGCTCCCATTTCACATATCTCGTTGCAGGCATGCAACCAGATCCCATTTTATGTATCTCGTTGCAGGCGTGCAACCCGATCCCATTTCATATATCTCGTTGCAGGCGTGCAACCCGCTCCCATTTCACATATCTTGTTGCAGGCGTGCAACCCTCTCCCATTTGTTTTATCAACACCAATCAAAAAAAGGGTCCAGGCAAGGGAACAATAATATCAAAACAAACATCCCGACAAGGAAACAATAATATGACAATAACATCCCGACAAGGGAACAATAATGATAATAACATCCCAGCAAGGGAACAATAATGATAATAACATGTGAAGCGCAATAAATCACAATGGAGTCATAATAACTACAATACAAGACTCACGGGCATGCTTGACACCAACGTATAAATACACATCACCATGCCTACACGTCGTACTCCACAATTAGCACATAGCAAATAAGACATGACTCCTAATCCCTCAAGCTAAGGTTAGATCAAACACTTACCTCGATGCCACGAACACAATTAAAGCTTCTACTATCGCTTTACATCTTGATTCCACCACCAATTCGCTCGTATCTAGCCACAAGTTACTTAATTACTTCAATAAACGCTAAATGAATCGACTCCAATGCATGAAAATGAGTTTTCCAAAGTTTTACCCAAAAAGTCAAAAATTGCCCCCGGCCCACATGGTCAAAACCCGTGGTTCAAACCAAAACCCGATTACCCATTCCCCCACGAACCCAAATATATAATTTATTTTGAAATCGGACCTCAAATCGAGGTCCAAATCCCCATTTTTTGAAAAACCTAGGTTCTACCCAAAACACCCAATTTCCTCCATGAAAATCATTGATTTTGAGTTGAAATCATGTGAAATGATATTAATGATTGAAGAAAATGAGTTAAAATTGACTTACAATCTATTTGGAAGAAGAGTTGTTATTGAAAAATCGCCCTAGGGAGTTTACATTTTGAAAGGATGTGAAAATGGTTGATTTTCGGCTAAGTATAAAAGTTGCAGGTTGCAGGTATGGGTATTGCGAATAAGGTTTGAAATTGTGAAACCCAACCCCTGTTATGTCTGCATTTACGAAGGGGGTTCTCGCAATTGCGATTTGGGAAATGCGAACAAGGGATCGCATTTGCGATAGTAGGCCCAAAAGGGGTGCATCGCATTTGCAAAGGAAATCTCGCATTTGCGAGATGGAGCTGGCCTAGGCTATTTTCGCAATTGCGACAAGGCCCTTGCATTTGTGATATCGCATTTGCGAGCGAAGCCTGCAGGCCTGAACAAACCAGCTATAAAACCTACAATTCATCAAGTCCAAAATCCACCCCGTGGCCTATCCAAAACTCACCCGCGCCCTCGGGGCTCCAAACTAAACTTGCACACCAACTTAAAAACATCATACAGATTCGCTCGTGCATTCAAATCACAAAAATAACATCAACAACTAGGAATTTAGCATCAAAATCATGAAATTTCCTTAAGAACTTCAAATTTCCAATTTTCTCAAAAATGATCCGATTCACGTCGTTTCAAGTCCCTTTCTTACCAAACTTTACAGACTTATCTTAAATCATATATAAGATCTGTACTGGGTGCCGACACCAAAATATAGGCCCGATACACTCAAGTTTTAATCACAATTTATTTCCAAATCTCATAAATAATTTCAGAAAATAATTTTTTTCTAAAAATTCATTTCTCGGGCTTGGGACCTCGGAATTCGATTTCGGGCATACGCCCAAGTCCCATATTTTCCTACGGACCCTTCCGGACTGTCAAATCATGGTTCCGGGTCCGTTTACCTAAAATATTGACCAAAATCAACTTAATTCATTTTACATTCAAAATTCATCATTTTTTCATAAATTTTCACATAATGTCTACCCGGCTACGCCCCCGGACTGTGTACGCAAATCGAGGTGATGCTGAAAGAGGTTTCTAAGACCTTGGAACATATAATTTATTTCTAAAACAAGTGATGGCCTTTTGGGTCATCACAATAATCAATAGAATTTTAGAGAGAGATAGAGAGATTACCAAGATAGTAGAAAGATTTATGTGAGAAAAATAAAAAAAGAAAAAGAAGAGAAGGGTTATTTATAGTTTAGAATTAGGGCTAAAATATAATTCTATAAATATAAGGGTTAAAATTAAACTAAGAAGAGTAGGGATGATTAGGGGGTTGGGGGACCAATATTACCGTCACCTAACGGCCATTGTTATAACAAAAAAAAACAAATTGGATAAGAGCTTTTATTTTAAAAAAATGTATACTTTTTATATATCGGGCCGAAACATGACTCTATCTGAGCTAAGATTTTTGAGGGGCCAAATGGGCTGGTCCAGTCGAGACTAAACAGTCGTTGCTCCTCGATACTTGACTCCCTAATATGGTTGTCCAATGGGACGAGATGGGACGAGACGACATTTAATCGAGGCGGTGGCAGGACGGAACGAAACGGGACAGCACAAACGGGACAAAACAGTCATCCCATCTCGTCCCGCTAATAAACGGGATGGGACGGGACGGGTTCGTGGGCCTTAAGTGTTTTTTTAAAAAAAACGTCTAGTGTTTTGAAAATTACTATGTTTTTAAAGTTTTGCAACGACTAGATTTTTGACTTATTTAATAAACTTAAATGTTAATATGTTAAAATGAAAATTAGAAAACAAATTAAAGAATTATAAAATATTAAAACAAAAGACTTGTAATGAAATATTCTACTAATTATAAATTTATAATACAGTTATAATTTATTTAATATAATTTCAAAGTATTAACTATTAAGTAACTAAAACAATTCATAAAAAAACTTCAATGCATAGAGCCTTTTATTTTATTAATAGAACTTTCAAATCTCAAATACAAATATAATTCTTTTGAGAGCACCTAATCTATGCAACAACCTTCTAGGAAGGGTTCTGTTTGAACTAGGCCTCTTAGTAGCCAAATACAAATTATCATACTAATATTTGTAATCTCCTATATAGCTTCTTTCTAACTTATCAATAATATCTCTCGGACATTCTGCTGGAATTGGCAATGTTGATTGATCTTTCATGAGCTCCATGCCGTCATTGCTCCCAGTGGTAAGTATCTCATTGTATTCTTCTTCTTCCCTAATACGGAAATCTCTAGACTGTCCTCCGCTAATGCATGTTTATGATCTCCAATTTGAAATCTTTTCGCGCTAAAAGCACTCTCCGATGCTACTGATGATGCTTGAATAGCCAGGATATCTCGGGCCATAATTGAAATTGTTGGAATAGCCTTGCCACGCTCCCTCCACCATGACAAAAGTTGTTCCTTGCCTTCTTCGTCTTTAATATTTTCCAATCCTTGATTAAGATAAGAATTAAGTTCATCATCAATAGAAGAATCAAAACCTGTTATATCATCTATATCTTCCCATAAAACTTCTGCTCTAGACATAGAAGTAGAAGGAGCAGTTTCACAACCAGTTATATCCATAGATTTATATTTATCAAACATTGATCTAGCATAAGAATATATGCTAGCTTGGCAGTCTTCGAGAGATNAGGAATCAAAACCTGTTATATCATCCATATCTTCCCATAAAACTTCTGCTCTAGACTTAGAAGTAGAAGGAGCAGTTTCACAACCAGTTGTATCCATAGATTTATATTTATCAAACATTGATCTAGCATAAGAATATATGCTAGCTTGGCAGTCTTCGAGAGATGGTTGTTCATTTTCTTGAATTTCTAAATTCTCATAAATTTTACGAACAAGTCCCTTTGCACCTCTTAGTTTTAAAGATGGGTTAAGTAGAGTAGAAATTAAATAAACTTCGGGAATAGGGAAAAAATACTTTTTATATTTTAAAATCATTTCATTAATGGTCGGTGCATAAGTTGTATTTGTTTTATACTTACCAAATACAACAGAAATTCTACAAATATACCATAATATTTGTTTAACAGTAGGATAGTATATACTAGAAAATTATTTTGTAGCATAATAAATTTTTTCTAAAAATTTAGTAAGCTCTTTGATCTCATCCCAATTAGAATCAAATTTGATCAACAGGGTGAACATTATGCATATTAAATACTTTTTGGATAGGCACCCAATAATCATAAGTAACTTTAAGCATTTCATAAGTAGAATTCCACCTAGTACAAACATCTTTTGGAACTTTTCTAAATGGAAGGTTAGCACTAGCACATTATTGAGAAAATTCACAAATTCTACTTTGTTTATGAGCACGAAAAATATAGCCACAAGCATGTTGTATTTTACTACAAGCATCAGAAAATAAATTAAGACCATCTTTTACAATCAAGTTAAAAATATGACATGTACATCTAACATGAAAAATTGTTAGATTAATTGGACAAAGTCTAGATTTTAAGCTATTTGCTGCAGTTGTGTTAGCAGAATCATTATCTAAGGTGATAGTTAAAACTTTATTAATGAATCCATAAAAAACAATTATTTGTAGAACAGTAGTTGCAATATATGATCCAGTGTGTTTTGAATCAACAAATTTATAACCAATAATATGTTTTTGCAAGTTCCAGGGATGGTCAACCCAATGCATGTAACAGTTAAATAATCATAACCATTAGGACTACGACCTATATCAGATGTGATAGATACTTTACAATCTAAGTGAAAAATACACAATGAATATACTGAAGATATTCGGTTTGAAATTTAAAAACATCATTTCTAACCGTGGTTTTAGGAAAACCTTGAAAAGCAGGGTTATAAGTTTCTTGTATATAATGCACAAAGGCAGGATGAGAAGGGAAAGTAAAAGGTAAGCCACAGACATCCACCATTTTTGCTAAGTTCTCACGATCTCTATCTTTGTTATATTTGCGTAAAACATGACCAAAAGCAGGGTCAAGACTGAGATTTTGGGACGTTCAGCCTTAGGCTTACCCCTTACAGGGGGTACATAGGGTAAAGCTCCAGACTGAGATTGGCTCTGAGTTGGAGCTTGTGTTGCGGGACTAGTGGGTGTTTCATCTAATTCTTCTTACTCATTTTCTTCATCCTCAAAAAAAATTCACTGTCAAATTGTCTTTGTAAAGTTTCATGATGTAATTGTTCTCCGACATGAACATCATAAAATGTGGGGGGTTGGGAAAATGAAGTTTCATCAACATGAGTCATTTCATCAATATGTTTTCTAGTTCTAGGTCTAGGAGAAGGGTTAGGATTAGGATTACTACTACTTTCACATTTACTATTTTTTTTACTACTTTTTTTAAAAATGCCAAGTACATTTTTAGGTGCCATAATTTAAATACGAAATTAAATTAAAAAAGCGAACAAAAAAATTAAACACACTAATGAAATACGAAAATATAACACATAAAGTAAACACAAAAATTAAGAACTAAAATGATATGCAAAAATTATATATTAAAATTAGGAGATGGAACGAGTGCACCGTGATTAGATATTAAAACTTGAAGAAATTGCCCAAAATATTGTTCCAAATACTTGACGAATTAATTTGAAGCTTAAAAGTTTTTCCANGCTATTTTTGCAATTTAAGTCGTTGCCCAACGACTAGTTTTTTTTTAAAAAAATCTGGCGGGATGCGAGATGGGACACGGGACGGGACGAAACGGGACGGGACAAACGGGACGAAATGGCCGTCCTGTTCAATTCCGTGTCTCGTTTAACAACTGCCCATCCCGTTAAACTTGAAGCGGAACCGTTGGACAGTCATACTCCCTACCCCTTATCCCATCCCCCTGCTGTTATCGCAAGAATGGATAGGACGGGCCAGGTCGGGATCGGGACAGGTTTGCCCACCAGCCAAAACTAACGCTGAAAAAAGAATTTCATAATAGAATTTTTACATCCTATAGCAAAGGTTAACACCTTATTTATATTAAATAAATACCATTTAAATAAATTATATTCTATAAATACCTTTTATGGTTTATAGCAAAATTTCTAATTTTGGTTATATCCTACACTTAAGCCACTAAACACGTTATTTTTTATTTTTCTCTCTCCCTTTTCAGATATTTCTCTCTCATAATTACCGTATTTCATCAAAATTTCTCAATACACGTTCTTTCTCTCTCTTATTTTGATACACTCTATTTTTTTTTCCATTCCCTATAAACTCGCCCAAAACCAGAGAAACTCTCACCCACACCGTTTCCTTCTTCCCCAATCTCGACATAAACCCTAATTTTCTCTAGATTGTTGTCATTTGTTTCTATAATTAGTGTGGTAAGTATTTAATTTTGTAAATTTTCGCTATTTTTGTTTATTCTCAACATCTCTACTCACCAAGTTTTCTCTAATTAACAGTATCCAAGCGTATTCTCACAATGTCTGATTCAACACCCCGCAAGTTGATTACTAGAGGTATACCTGATAAAATTCTTACTTTCGATGGGCCCTCTTTCTCCTTGCAAATTACTCAAGGGGAATTGGATGCAGGTTTAGCCAAAAATATGGCATTGGAGAAGAGAACAAAATCCCACCATGACAAGTTCAAAGAAACCCAAGTTGAGAAATCATTGAAGGAAACAAGACTTCCCATTGCGGAAAAGATGAAAAAACATATTTCCGAAGCTTCATCTGTCAAGGGGAAGTAGGTTGAAGCAAGTAAAAGCTCGGATACACTAGAAGAAAAGGTAATTTCTGAAGTATTTATCTGTATTGTTGATGTATTCATCTGTATTTACATGTATAAACCTGTTGACTTCTCTGTTTTTTATGTATATATAGTTGTATTTATAAGGATTTTCAAAGTTCCCATCACTGTTTTATTCTAATTGCAATGTCTTTTTTTGTTATATGCGTATGTATAATATGTGTACATATATTTCTATCACTGATATCTTACTTCAGTTTATTTTTGCAGTTTGTATTTAGTTGTATTTATATGTATTCATATCATTTTACTATGAAATATGTATTGTATTCAGTTGTATTTATATGTATTTATTCTTGTTAAATGCAGGGAATTAAGCTGTTTGTGAAAAAACAGCCTATATTTTCATCGCATATTAGTGTATATACTAACACACGCATAGTCTCCGAGCTAAAAGAAAATCTTACTCCAGAGCAGTACCAACAACTGGGTAATACTTGTTTTGGAAATTTCCTTCAAATGAAGCATTGTGAAGTCCAACATCAACTCTTCAGATGCTTCATGTCTTTCCAGTTAGAAGAAAGTCCTGATAGTGTATTTGCAATACACGTCAATAGTACTTCATTATCTTTCTCAATAAGGGAGTTTGCGCTTGTGACTGGCCTAAAATGTTTTGGTAACCCTGCTGATTTTGAGTTCACTGAAAAGGTTCCTAACCGGATTATTGAGGCTTACTTTGGAGGTGCCAATTTTGTGAAGAAGAAATATTTGATGAAATGCTTTGCTGACAAGAACTGGGGTCACGACAACGATAGGGATGCCTTAAAGATAGTTATTTTGTATTTAATACACACCTTCATTTTTTCATCCGAGAAGAACAGCACGACCATCCCAAAGTTGCATTTTGACTTGGTCGAGAGTGGGCGCTATTCTGAATATCTATGGGGTATAAAAGCATTTGAAAGCCTGACAAAATCTATTAACAAGAAGATGGATGTTTAGAAGAAGTACTACAGGATAGCTGGGATGCCCCTAGCTATGCAAGTATAGTTTTATGAGTGTTGTTCAAATGTTGTTCCCAAAATTGCACTCTGAGTTGATAATGTGGTCCCTAGAATACTCAATTGGAGATCCACCGGTAATCAGCCAATCTTTGCTTATCTGATGAATGACATTTTCAATGACAAGGGAAACATGGTAATTTACAATTTCTATCCTGGAAAGTTTACAATTTACTAATCATTAATATTGCATACAGTTACTGCTGCATACAACTTCATACAGTTGAATACAGTTGTTGCTGCATTCATTATTATTGCTGCATACAATTGCATATAATTTAGTAATCATTACTGCTGCCTTCATTTGAATACAATTACATTTTGATTCCAGATTTGCATACATCCATTGTAGTAAGAATTTGATTGTATTTCATTTTTCAGATTGTTTACAAGGATATCTAACCAACCGATATAGAGCTTGCCCTTATTCAGATTCCTCCAGTAGGCGTTGTTGTCGAGAACAGTCCTACTCCTACTCATTCAGACAAGTCGGTAGAGGATTCAGATGACTTTTCTAATATACCTTGTCACACCTCATTTTTACCTACACCCCCGGAAGGGAGTATATAGGGGAGTTTTTCTAATTAAGTGATAATCGAAACGAGATTATTTATTTATTAAAAATTCAGAGTCGCCACTTGGGATAATTTATGGTGTCCCAAGTTACCGGTTCAAATCCTGAATCGAGAAAAAGATTGACTCTGTATTACAGTCTGCGAACCAGAAATCCGGGTAAGGAATTCTGTTATCCCGGGAGAAGGTGTTAGGCATTCCCGAATTCCGTGGTTTTAGCATGGTCGCTCAACTATTATAATTGGCCTATTATCTGATTTTAAAACACCTTTAAGCCTATGTGCATTTTAACTTTAAACCGCTTTAATTATTTTAAAGGAAGTTTTCAACGTCATCTAAAACGTGTCTTTGGATCACGCCACATGAAATGCACCCGCGATCCGCGACATATTTTATTTAATATTGTTAAGATTTGGATTTGGATCACATGAAATGCACACCCGATTTTAGGAAGGTAGTTTATAAATAGTGCGCCTAAAGCAACTACGCACTTTTATCTTTGCGAGGGCCTTGGAAAATTCAACTAAATGGCGTGCTTCGATTTCTAAGGATAAAAATGTTAAGTGAGGGCCCTGGGTTTTGAGGATTTATTTTACATGGCATGCCTCAAATTATTTCAAAGGATTTTAACTCAACTAAAGCAAACTACGGACATTCATAGATTATTTCTTTCTAAGTTGAGATTGTTGGAAGGAAATCAGACACCATATGTACATGACAATTGAAAAAATAAAAAATAAAAAAATAATTAATAGATATTGAAAATTAAACATCACATATACATGAAGCTTTAACTGCTCCTCCAAACATTTTATAAACACGAACACCGATTCTTAAACAATTGTTTCAATATAACCAAATCACCATTTCCAAAACTAATGGTTGTATCATTTTTAATGTGTCATAAAGCATCTTTGCACAACAAAGACTGCTAGCTTCCAATTTAGTCCAAAATTATGAGTGAGATTTGCATAAGACAAAAAAAATGCGGAAATTTCATTTACAGTACCTAATTTCAAACTAAAAAAATTAAACTTAAAATAACCAAGCAAACCGCAACAGTATTCTTATCGAAATTGACGATCAATGCTACTGTACATACACTTTCACAAAAGAAAAGTTCAATCAACGAGGATAAATGAGCAACAAATATTCATCGGAATTTTGAACACCAACGCTTTGCTCAAAACGATTAATTTATTCATTGTGCGAAAAATTCCGTGTCTCTATGAATGCTACACAATGCAACACAACTCGATTCATTTAAAAATTACTCATCAAATAAAAAACAAAATTGGCATGATTAATCAGTGTGCAGAAAGAGAAAAATCGTCATGCTATATATTTGAAGGTCGATGATTCAGCGAGAGTGGAAAAAAGAAGTTGCTTACCTCTCGATTCTCTACAACAGGAACATCAACTTTTAAGCAAAATCAACTCAAACCCAGAAAGATCAACTTCAATTTTGAACTATTTTTGAGTACAAAATCGATTCCAGATCTTATTGTCTTCCTTCTTCTTTTCGATTTTTTATAGGTTTTTTGAGATTTGGATCTCCCCTTTTTGCTATCTACGTGTGTGATTGTGAGATAAGAAGAGGAAGGAGGAGGGGTCTGTTATTTTCAGAGAATTGGGGGTGATAGCTCCGAGAATATTTTGTTTTTTTTTTCTCTTTTGAGAAGATGAGAGTGTCGTTTTTTAGTGTAAGGGTGTTTTTTTTCGATTTTTTGTCTAGCTCCTCCTCAGATAATATGTGTTTAGGGTATAAAGAAGGGATGGGTTAATGGTCTAGTCTGTGTAGGTATAAGGTCATTGGGCCATTGTATTTGTTCTTTGGGGTGACCCAGTACACCAAGACTAAGTCATTTTCTTTTCCCCATTTTTCTTTTCTTTTATTTTTTCCTTTTCTTTACTTTAACTAATTAAAAACCTAAAAACCAGAATCGATTCCGGAGTGGAGACCCTATGTTGGAGAGGCGACTAGGGAATGGAGACCCTATGTCCAAAATAAAACTCAACTAGGGAGTGGAGACCCTATGTTGGAAAAGGAGACTAGGGAGTGGAGACCCTATGTCTAAAATAAAACCAACTTGGGAGTGGAGACCCTATGTTGCAAAAGTGACTAGGGAGTGGAGACCCTATGTCTAAAATAAAACTCAACTAGGGAGTGAGACCCTATGTTGGAAAAGGCGACTAGGGAGGGGAGACCCAATGGTGGTAAAAGCGATTAGGGAGTGGAGACTCTACGTCTAAAATA